GTATATATTAAATATTGTATTTATATACATTATATTTCATTGTTTTAATGTATTATTTTTTCTGTTTTCATGAGCTTCTGTTCTACCTTGTTGATTTTATTGACTTACTTTGACCTTTTTTTTTGCAATATTTTATATTTTATTTTACTGTCAGTTATTTATTGAATGATAGAACAGGAAGGTATAAAAGGTAAAGATCACCTTTGCTGTTGATTACGTCCGTTATCCTAGCAGCGCTAACCCTTTCCCCTCTGTGCAGCTTTATCCAGGTGGAGGTTCGGTGGTGAAGTTGATGGAGACGCTCTCTGATTGGCTGCTCAGTCTGCCCCTACAACGAATCCCGTACCAGGCTATTCTGGACCTGGTGGACAATAAAATGAGGGTGAGACACACACACACACACACACACACAGAGTCAGACTATTAAAAACCCAGAGCAGCAGCAGCAACAGGTCACTTCTTCTTCTCCTTCATCCAGATCTCAGGCGTGTTCCTGGGAAAGGAGCTTCGATGGGTCGGCTGTCAGGGCAGCATAGCGGGACTCCGAGGTTACCCGTGTTCTCTGTGGACCCTCTTCCACGTCCTGACTGTGCAACATGATGCCACGCCCACTGCGCTGGAAAACACAGGTTCCATTCACAGACGTGTAATGAAGGACTTTGACCTGTAGGGTTACCATATCTGACTCACTCTCTTCCGGGCATGTGATCGCCACGCAGGGTTGGACGGGGAGGCGGCTCCGGTGCTGCAGGTGATGCGTCGCTACATCCGCACGTTCTTCGGATGTAAGGAGTGTGGGCAACACTTTGAGCAGGCAGCTGCGTCCAGTCTGGACAAGGTCAAGAACCCAGAGGAACAGATTCTATGGCTGTGGAACCAGCACAACATGGTCAACTACAGACTCGCAGGTACAGTCCCTGATGATGTCACTGTTACTTTTTTTCAGTTGTTAAGGGGGAAGTGGGAATGTTTTGCGATAATCTGTATTCACAGCTTAAAATGAACAGCTTACTTATACATAGAGTTGGCTCCACCTTATACATCTGCCTTACACACAGATGGTACTGGGTTCGAGCCTCAGGGAAACCACATGGTTAGTGGCGCCCCCCCTTGGACTCGCAAGGGATGATTTCTTTTTTTTGGTGCTCTGTGTGAGAGTATGTTGTGACATTGTTTTCTGTTTTAGAATAATTTAATTTAATTTTAAATTAAAAGAAATTTAAATAAAAATTTAAATTAATTAAATTTTTGCCCATTGTGGAACTACCAAACTCTCCTGATTTATACCCAGTCCTTCTTCTAGTGAAGACGTGTAAAAATGATGTTAGCACAGACTGTAGCAGTCTTCCTGTCAAACTGTAGCACATCCATCTGCAGACCTGTTGCCCATGAGCCCCCGTGTGATGAATAATAAACCAGAGGATTTATTTAAGAATAAAGTGAACATCTGTACGGAGCAGCTTCGCCTGACAAACAGCCTGACAGCTAACGTTCATCTGTTTTAATGATGTTGTTTTTGTCTTCATCAGCTGTTGGAATATTCCTTTAAACTCCACACCTCTGCCCCAGTATGACTCTGCACTAACACTAACATCTCTGTCCATCAGGGACACTGAGCGATGACCCGCTCTTCNNNNCCGAGCCCCTCCCTCTGTCCGTCCTGCCACGAGGAGAAAAACGGCGTTCACGTCTGGAACCAGGACAACATCCTCCAGTTCCTTCGACACCACTACGGAGCCTCCAACCTGTCCCCCAAGTACTCCCTCACCCCTCCACAGCTCCCCGCACTCCCCCCGATCCCCGACCCTTTGCCGACCGGCCGGCCGCAGGAGGAGCGTGGAGCGGGAGACGATGGCAAGGTGGAGGAGAAGAAACCTGACGGACCTCTGAAACCTCACCCTGGACCATTGAATCCCAGGGTGGAGGGCAAGGGTGACGAGCCAAGGCACATAGGAGGAGGAGGAAGAGCAGGAGGAGGATCAGCAGCAGGAGCAGAAGGAGACAAAGGAGTGGGAGGAGTCTGGATCCTGGGTCTGGGCTTCAACAGTGTGGACATGAGTCTCTGTGTGGTCCTCTACATCTGCTCCTGCCTCTTCCTCATGCTGCTCTTCTTCTTCTTCAAAGTGCGATCCCGAAGGTGGAGACTGAGGTACTCGCGCCTCCACGTCTGACCCGGGTCAGGCCGGTTCTGACCGGGCAGGTATTCGGGACCTCTCTTAAAACACTTAGAGGTCGGTTCAACAAAGTCCTGATCTGAACATGAGGTATACGGTCACTGCCCCACTCCACAGAGATGATTCTAGAACGTGTTGAAGTTGGATCTGGTTGTTGTTGTTGTGGTTCGGACCAGAATCCATCAGGACCTTCAACACCCGCTGGTGTTGAAACTTTTACAATTTGGAACATAGAACCAGTTCTCAGTACTTGATATTAGTGTCTTTCCACCATTCTGGTGTGACTGGTTTAGACACATGAACATGTATCTGTGTGTATCATGTTCTACCAGGACAAAACTGGAACCGGAGGTGAACTTGAGCAGATTGTTTTATTTTTTAGTGTCATAATTCTCTGAGAACCCACTGAATGACGACACACCCTTCACACAGTCCCGCCTTCATGTGAACAGTATATGTGTGTGTGTGTGTGTTCTGCTATTTATGATATTGTGAGGACCACAGGTCAAAAAGGTCCAGGACTTTTGTAATGTGGGGACATTTTAAGTCCGAGTTGAGAGTAATTGTGTGTGTGTGTGTGTGTCAGTGCGTGTGTGTCTGTTACTGTTACTGTGTAACATGGACCCATTCTAATCAATTTTTTCCTGATCCAGGAATAATTATAGGTGAGTTTGGTGCCGTCTAGTGGTGAGCAATTATTTTTATAACGCTAACTGTGAAAGTGGGAACTCCAAGACACCAAGATGAGTAGATTTGTCGCTTATCCATCATAGTATAAAACCAAAATGACAATGATATTTGACAGATGAAGCGCAGCAGCAGAAAATTGGCGACATGTTGACATTCAAAGTATTTTTGCCAGAATATAGATATGAAAGTCAAAACGCTTAAAAAAAAAAAAAAAAAAAAAAAAGCACAAAATGTTTTCTTTTGTAAGTTTTAATTTTTAGGTAAATTTTTAAACAGTTGACAGGCTTTTAAATTTTAATTGTTATTTTAATGATTTGTTAAAAAAATAAATATCATTAAGCACAAACAAACCGATAATTTAGTGTAGATTTGGTGAAATTGTGCTCTCCAGTCAGGCTGTGTACCAGAGTAGTAACTTCATCTGCTGTACTAGTACTAGTACACGCCCCAAATTTGATATACAAGGTCCATAAATGTTCAGTAAGAATTGTGAGAGGGAGTACTACTGCGGCGGGTATTGGGTATTTATTTTTCCTGTTAATAGTGCTTTTTATTGTTTCACTATCCTTTTCAGGGTGCAACGGGGCATCGTCTTGTTTTTTTCCTTGTCTCGTCCACAGTCTGTACCAGGTGAAAGTGTCTCAGTTGTCGATGTTATTTTATTATTGTTCGTCAGAATAAATTTTCTCTCTTTGCACTCCCAACATCGGTTAATATGCACTGAGTCATCGGTTAATGTGCACTGAGTCATCGGTGTCTGTGTGAAGCTGCAGGTGACTCATCTCGACTGTGGACTGAAGTTAAATGCCACGATGCAGCGCAAACATCTGGCATTGCCCCCTGGTGGCTAATTGTAGTATAGAATATTTAAGGGAAAAAAAACGCCGCCAATGAGAACTAACCAACTCAAATAGGATTTTACACATGCAAAAAAAGGTAATTATGCTATTAGTGTTATATGTATTAATTTAATATTTAAATATATTCAAATTAGTTATCAATTGGAGTTTTAGAACGAGATGATTGACGGCTCAAAACGATCTGTGAGGTTGGCATCTGAGCAGATTGGCTGCTTCATGGAGCATCTTCTCAAAGCAGTGGGGTCAGTCTCATTGGCCTCTGACCTCTGACCCCTGACCTTTCTGCACGTGTGCAGTATCTGCCAAGGTGAAGGTGACCTGGTCGTTGCGTTGTCATATCACTGCAATGCTCAGCAATGTTGACTTTGTCATGTACTTTTTCACACCTCTGTGGTATTACTGCAGTACTTAAAATACTGCAGTACTGCCACCGTTTTAAATGTCAAAATATTTTTTTTTTTTTTTGCCGGTAAAATTATTTTAAAAAGTCTCTCCTAAAAACCAAATCCTATTAATCAGTTCCTGAGACTTTTTACAGAATGGAGCAGAACTGTCTGATGGAGAGAACGTATTATAATCCTCCCCTCCCCCATCCACTCCTCCACACCTCCCACCCTAATCCCTTTTCTCCTTTGTCTTTGGTCAAACAATCCACACAAAGAAAAATAAACTCGTACAGAACAGGAGTGTAACTAAATCCGCCTTTGTTTAAAACAAAAAACAAAAAAAAAACTAAAATCCTTGAGACGTTTACTGGTTTCTAAACTTCAGAATATCCTTCACTGAATAATAATGTTCAGAAAAAAAAAATAGTTTAAGGCGAATGAGCCTAAATCTGATACGTCACAGGAACCGTTTCCTCCCCTAAGTAAAAAAAAAAAAAGAGAGGACGTGAGGCAAGGACACCGAGGACAGCTGACCTGATACTGCACCACGTCTGACTCACTTGCATAAAAAACTTGTCACAATGAGCCCTGCAGGTGGCGCCGTCGCTCGGTGACAATGTGTGCAAATCTGTTCAATTATTTTTCCTCTCTGCGTTTCTCTGGAGGTGAAGGTTTTTTTTTATTGATGAGTGGAATCATCGTCACCGGCCAAAGTTTCTTAGTGGTCAGATGCATCATGGGAGATGTAGTTTGCAGTGAATATTTGTTGTTTGATTAGAATTGTGAATTACTAGCCATATACTGTGTATGCTATAACTATCCAGAAAAAAAACATTAGTACATACTCTATACCAGACTTTGGCAAATCTGGGGTATCTTTGGTATCTGGGCCAGATTGGCTTTAGAATCCAGCCCACTAAAACACCGGTACAAGATCTGGTAAAGACTAATGTCAATTATTTTCGTTTCATGCATTACAACCAACTGACTGTAATTGCTGTTGATGCCACAAGGTGGCAGCAAACATCCAAAGTGTCAAAGTATCTTTGAAAGATTAGAGGTTTATTCTTGTACAGTTATAATTATTTAAATTATTTTATCCAGCATTCTACATCCAACTGATCCTGAACCGGACCACCAGCCAAATAATTAACCTCATTTTGGCCCATGAGCCATAAGGTTTGCCCACCTCTGCTCGGTTTCTATAGATTTTTACTTTAAGACAACCATGCACCTGTTCATCCCTAAACAACCAGTTTTAATTAATTTATTATTGTTTAATTTAATTTATAATTTAATTTATAATTTAATTTATTATTTAATTTAATTTTATTTTATTTTATTTTATTTTATTTTATTTTATTTTATTTTATTTTATTTTATTTTATTTTATTTTATTTTATTTTATTTTATTTTATTTTATTTTATTTTATTTTATTTTATTTTATTTTATTTTATTTTATTTTATTTTATTTTATTTTATTTTATTTTATTTTATTTTATTTTATTTTATTTTATTTTATTTTATTTTATTTTATTTTATTATTTTTCAGGTCTCCTTTAGGGTTAGGGTTAGTAAGTACTAACAGTTTACTGTACATTATTTCAATAGTTCCAGGAACCACTCGGTGACCCCATGTGACCTTTCACGGTCCCAGAGCAGGAGAAGTAAAGACGTTTTTTTTAAATGTCCGACAGGTTCTGGGTCCGAGTCAGAGTGGCCTGTTGCGTCACGTCAGCAGAGACGGACAGCCCCCGGGGTCCGTGGAGCAGGCCAGGCAGCAGAAGACAGATAAATGGATGGATGGGCTGCGATAACAGTGATGGTGGACGGTGATATTGGACGGAGGATGTTGGAGATGGAGTTGCCAGGCAAGAGGGAGAGACAAAGATCAGAGAGATTTATGGATGCTGTGTGGGAAGAGGGGGAAAAGGAGGAGAAGGAGAAGGAGGAGGAGGAGGACGAGTAAGAGGAGGAGGAAGAGGAGGAGGGGGGTGGGGGTCAGCTGATGAACTGAAGCGGTTCATCGGACAAAAGAAGAAGAAGAAATATTTGATAAGAGTGATACTACTACAGCAGAGCAACAAACAGCACGGGGTTCCCAACATCCAGTCCGGGGACCAATGTTGGTCCATAGGTGATTTGGTAGCAGGCCACAGTGGGACATGGTGAAAAAAATGTACTTCAGTTTTACTAATTTACAAATACACATGACCCACAGAACCATAGTCTACATCAGGGGTTCCCAACCCCTGGTTCGGGGACTGGTGTTGGTCCATAGATCATTTAGTACTGCAGTGGGACACAGTATCCAGTCATCCTTTTACTGTCAATCTGTCAATGTTTCAAAACAACAGGTCAAAGGTCAATCCCACTCTGATACTGAACAGAAGAAAGTCTAGAAGACGTTTTATTTTGAAAATGTAACGATCCTTCAACGATGGTGCGGTATTACAGTGACAGCTGATACCGGTCCTTGGTACCAAAAAAAAAAGGTTGCGGACCTGTGGGCTACATCACAGAGGTGATGAAGATTACCTCGTCTTCTCACTCAGATCAAAGTCAGAGCCTCAGCTGCGACAGTGTGTGTCAAGAATGAATGGAGACTTTTTGACTTTTTGTCAGGACTGAACAAAATGTCCTCATGACTGTCCTGACATCTGTAGGAAGACACGGAGACACAGAGAGAGAGAGAGAGAGAGAGACACAGACTGCTGCTGCTGCTGCTGCTGAGATACTGTACATGTCCTTATTTAGCCCCAGCTCCCCCCTCCCATCCGCACCCACCCACTGTTCTCTTCAGTATGGGATGGAGGAGCTGTCTGTATTTGTCTAACTGCTTCCCTTTAACTGTCTGACTTGTATGGTAATAACTGAACGGAGCGCCTGTATGTGAGTGTACAGCTGAGGTGGCAAAAAAAGCTGCTGTTTTTCTCTCTCTCTGTATGTGTGTGTGTGTGTGTGAGAGAGAGAGAGAAAGAGAAAGAGAGAGAGAGAGAGAGAGTGTGTGTCTGTCTCAGCCTGGCACACAGTCGCAGTATGCACGCTATGTACTCAGCATGCCAACTCAGCCTCGGCACTGCAATGCAGCGCTGTGCATTTGGCCAAGTCATGCCACACACACAATCACAGACACACACACACACACAAAGTCAAACACACACACACACACACATAAGCCCCAAAACAAGCACACGCTCACACAAACACACACAAACACACACAGCCGTGACGGACGACATGTTCTCATGTGTTTACGTTCAACATTTGAACCTCTTTTCTAACTCTCACCCACTCCCTCCCCTCCTTCACCCCCCCCCCCCCCCCCCCCCCCCT